CTACTGAAAACATAGTGATTTGGGCTAGGAGTCAATTTTGCTATTCCCCCCATAATACTATGTAACAAAATTAGAAGGATTTTCTGATCCTGATTTGAAAGTGCTATTTCATGTTTAATGGGGCAGAACTCACTTAGGACTTCATCCCACAGGATAAGTAAAGCATCTAGGATCATTAATTTTCCCTTAAGCTCGCAAAGCCCTATTTAGAAATTAAATGGATGATTTCCCTACTCCCATCACACCCTTCTCCTTTTCTCCACATTCTGTAGGATTTATCTGTTTGATTTGTTTGATTTATCTGTTTGATTTGTTTCCCCCACTGTCCCTCCCCCATTTTTGGGGTTTTTTTTTACTTCTCTCTTTGTAATCTCAGGAGTTCGATTTACAGCCTGAAAAACTCATAACATATTTTACGTTGCAGAATTGAGAACAGGGGGGAGGGGTTAATGAAGCTTTAGATCTCTTATATGTCTCTTTCTGCTAGCCTTTTGATAGATAAAACAAAAGCCTGGGAGCACAGCAGGAGTTTCAGAGAGGCAATTGAGAAAATAATAGGTAAGAGTTCAAAATGACTTTTACAAGAAGGGAGATAACACAGGAAGAAAGGGGAATGTTGAAAGATGGGGCTCAGAGACAAGCGCAGGATTTGCATGCTTTACTGTTTTTCTCCTGAATGTTTTGAATATCTATGAATGTTTGCTATACCTCCTCAGTCCCAAAATGGTAATGGTGGAAGAAAGGAATCAACACTGTTTATCTTGGCTGCTCCCTCTATAGTTACTTAGAATCATAGAATCATAGAGTTGGTAGTGACCTGGTGGGCCATCCAGTCCAACCCCCTGCCAAGAAGCAGGAAAATTGCATTAAAAGCATCCCAAAAGATGGCCACCCAGCCTCTGTTTAAAAGCCTCCAAAGAAGGAGCCTCCACTACCCACCACATAGTACATCATTGTCATGTTTACAAACAGGTGAGGGGGAATTCCCATGACATGTTAAATTGGGCATTTTTACACATCTCTACACAGGGAATTGAGAAATAAGTCTCTTGCCAACCGGTTTAAGATTCGTCAGGAAAATCCACACTTTGGAAATGGCTAGATACCTCTACTCCACATTATAAACTTGTGTCGTATGAAGGGCATTGTCTGTAAAAATAATGATTTCATTGCACATGGTGAAGTCCTTTGAAATTAGTTATTATACCCAAAAATTTCATTTTTGTAGCTGCCATTTTAATCCTTTCATTGTGCCATATTTAATCTTTTGTGTAGACCACAAAACAATGTTTTTCTCAGTTTAATAAACTTTTAATGATAGAACAAATTGCAAAATGACATTTTAACCCAGGAACAAAAATGGTGTTACATAGTGTAATGTGGGGCTTACACTGCACTTTAATTTTGTCCTCTGGAAATTTGTGAATATTTTGGTATTTGTTAATGCAAAGTAAAAAATGGGGAAAGGGCATTTATAATTAAAAAAATAATGCCACTAACATAGGCTTTACGTGTATATTTGAATTATAAAATAATTTTGAAGAGTTACAATTTTAGATTAATCTATTATTATTATTATTATTATTATTATTATTATTATTATTATTATCCCGCTTTATCTCCTCCACAAGGGACTCAAAGCATTACCAGAGGGTTTTTAGAGATTGGCTTCTGGTTCTGTTTTTTTGCTAACCATTCTACTCTCTGTCCGTTCTCCTCCACTCTGACATCAGGTCCCTCCAGACTCTTAATCTGATTCTAGCTTTCTCCCTTACTATCAAGAAACTCCCAAACACTCTCAGAAAAAATATTGCTTTAAAAAATCTCCTTCATATGTTGACCTTAGGGTTGCCATAATCAGAAATGACTTGACCACATGCAATACGTAACAGAGATATTTTGGTTCTAAGGCAGGTGAGAGAATATACCTTGCATTTCATAATAGTAATTCTTGTGTTTAATCTATTGTCATGGATTTATAAAATGCCATTAATATATTGAAATAAGTTCAAGTAAAACGGTGAAACCAAACAATAGAAAATAGGTTCATGGTGCTGCATGTTAAGTCAATAGTTTTGTTCTTACTTCTGGAGCTTTGCTGGTTTTTCTGGCTTCTCGGAATATGGGATGATCAGGTCTACAGATGAGTCTGGCTTCTGTAGCAGCGTGCCCAACTTGGTCTTGATCTCCTTGGCTCTGGAGGGAGAAATTATGCAAAAAATATCTGAGTGAAGTTGTCTCTGTGTTCAGTTTTTTTCATGTCAGGAACAACTTGAGAAACTGCAAATCGCTTCTGGTGTGAGAGAATTGACCGTCTGCAAGGACATTTGCCTAGGGGATGCCCGGATATTTTACCATCCTGTGGGAGGCTTCTCTCGTTTCCCCGCATGAGAAGCTGGAGCTGACAGACGGGAGCTCACCCTGCTCCACGGATTCGAATCACTAACCTTTCAGTCAGCAGCCCTGCCTGCACAAGAGTTTAACCCATTGCACCACCGGGGGCTCAGTAAATAAGACTCTCCACTTGAATTGAAAGGCATTAGCTGTAATTTGTGAGAGATGTGAGTCAAATCACTTTCCTCCTGCCTTCTGAAATTTAAAAGGGATAGAAATTGTTCTCTTATTTTAATCGAGTTTCATAGAAGCCTCTTGTATTCTCCCCTTTGAGTTGCACCGCACACTTTTCCCTTCAGTCTAATGGGGAATACATTGTTCCACGCTCTTGTTACATCCCGAATAGATTACTGCAACACACTCTACATGGGGTTGCCTTTGAAGACTGTTCAGAAACTTCAATTAGTCCAGCGGGCGGCGGCCAGATTACTCACCGGAGCGTCATACAGAGAACATACCACCCCTCTGTTATGTCAGCTCCACTGGCTGCCGATCCAGTTCCGAGCACAATTCAAAGTGCTGGTTTTGACCTACAAAACCCTATACGGCTCCGGCCCAGCATACCTGTCCAAACGCATCTCCTTCTACGTCCCGCCTCGGAGTTTAAGATCTTCTGGGGAGGCCCTGCTCTCGGCCCACCTCTATCACAAGTGAGATTGGTGGGGACGAGGAGCAGGGCCTTCTCGGTGGTGACCCCTTGCCTGTGGAATTCACTTCCTGGGGAAATTAGGTCATCGACATCCCTCCTCTCTTTTAGAAGGAAACTAAAAACATGGATATGGGACCAGGCCTTTGGGTAATCTGGCAGATAGACAAAGGACAATGACGACTAGAATTGATAGGATTTGACAATGTGGAATGAACTTACGGATTCTGAGCTGGCGAACGTTGAACATCAGATTGGTTTTTTTTGTTTGTGATGCATAACTTGATTGTTTTAATTGTTTTATAATTGCTGTTGATACATGTTTTATCTTACTGTCTTTTGTTGGCATCGAATTGTGCCTTTTGTAAGCCACCCTGAGTCCCCCCTCAGGGGTTGAGAAGGGCAGGGTAGAAATGCGTGAAATAAATAAATAATAAAATTGTTGTTGTTTTTAACTACCATTCTACTCTGTGGTTTGGAATCATGGACAGGACGGATCTGTTCACTGAAGACATCTCTACCTGGTTTCTAGTGATCCACTCCACCACAGCTCTTCACATCCACTTCATCCCAGAGATAGGAAAGTAGCTCAAAAATATTTAATTAATAACTTTAAAAACTAATTATTCTGACAGTATTAATTTGAATAATTATGAAGTTTGTGAAAAAAATCCTGCTCAAGTTGAAATTAAATGCTTGCACTAAAAACATTGCCAGAATGAAGCTGAAGAAGACCACCCATGATTATTCATAATGCTTTATTTTACTACTGATTCCCACAAGCATCCCAGCAGAGGTTCTTGAGTTACGAGTATCAAAATGAAGAACCCCTATGTTGTATCTGGTGTAGATTACAAGAGGACCACCAGGATGCACAGAAGACCACCCATCGTTCCAAGTTGCCTTCACTACTAGTTGATTTAAAATCAATCTTGGAATTAACTAAACTACCATAATATTCTCCAGCAAAGGATCACCGCCTTGTTGTGGCGCTGGAGCTTGAGCACCTCAATGATGTCATGAGCGAAACCGTGAAGGGCCACCCAAGACGGGACGGTCATGGCAGAGAGGTCAGACCAAGCGTGATCCCTGGGGAAGGCAATGGCAAACCACCCCAGTATCCTTGCCAAGAAAACTAAATGGACCAGTACAACCAGAGATATGTCGGTATGCCATTGGAAGATGGGACTCCCAGGTCGGAAGATGGCCAAAATGCTACTGGGGAGGAGCAGAGGATAAGTTCAACTAGCCCCAGATGTGATGACGCAGCTAGCTCAAAGCTGAAAGGAAGGCTAGCGGCCGACGGTACTGGAGGTGAACGACAAATCCGATGCTCTAAAGATCAACACACCATAGGAACCTGGAATGTAAGATCTATGAGCCAGGGCAAATTGGATGTTGTTATTGGTGAGATGTCAAGACTAAAGATAGACATTCTGGGGGTCAGCGAACTGAAATGGACTGGAATGGGCCATTTCACATCTGGACTATTCTAAAGCCTTTGACTGTGTGGATCATCATAAACTGTGGCAAGTTCTTGGTGGGATGGGCATCCCAAGCCACCTTGTCTCTCTCCTGAGGAATCTGTACAAGGACCAAGTAGCAACAGTAAGAACTGACCACGGAACAACAGACTGGTTCAAGATTGGGAAAGGTGTACGGCAAGGCTGCATACTCTCACCCAACCTTTTTAACTTGTATGCAGAACACATCATGCGATGTGCGGGGCTTGATGAATGCAAAGCTGGGGTAAAAATTGCTGGAAGAAACATTAACAACCTCAGATATGCAGATTACACCACTCTGATGGCCGAAAGCGAGGAGGAGCTGAGGAGCCTTCTAATCAAGGTGAAAGAAGAAAGCGCAAAAGCTGGGTTGCAGCTAAACATAAAAAAAAACCAAGATTATGGCAACAAGAATGATTGACAACTGGGAAATAGAAGGAGAAAACGTGGAGGCCGTGACAGACTTTGTATTTCTAGGTGCAAAGATTACTGCAGATGCAGACTGTGGCCAGGAAATCAGGAGACGCTTACTTCTTGGGAGGAGAGCAATGTCCAGTCTTGATAAAATAGTAAAGAGTAGAGACATCAGACTGGCAACAAAGATCCGCCTAGTCAAAGCCATGGTATTCCCTGTAGTAACCTACGGATGTGAGAGCTGGACCTTAGCGAAGGCTGAGCGAAGGAAGATCGATGCTTTTGAGCTGTGGTGTTGGAGGAAAGTTCTGAGAGTGCCTTGGACTGCGAGAAGATCCAACCAGTCCATCCTCCAGGAAATAAAGCCCGACTGCCATTGGAGGGAAGGATACTAGAGACAAAGTTGAAGTACTTTGGCCACATCATGAGGAGACAGCAAAGCCTAGAGGAGACAATTATGCTGGGGAAAGTGGAAGGTAAAAGGAAGAGGGGCCGACCAAGGGCAAGATGGATGGATGGCATCCTTGAAGTGACTGGACTGACCTTGAAGGAGCTGGGGGTGGTGACGGCCGACAGGGAGCTCTGGCGTGGGCTGGTCCATGAGGTCACGAAGAGTCGGAGACGACTGAACGAATGAACAGCAACAACCACAATATTTGGTGATACTTTAGGAGTGTCCCTCATTTAGTGAATCAATAAACAAATCAATAATTTAAATCTGGAATTATATTAATGTTGATGTTCTACCTTAATCAAACCACATTAGCTAAAATGTAATGTAATTTTGTTTCCATATCATTATAGTAATTCCATTTTAATTGATGTTGACTTCCATAATTTTCTCTCCCTCTAGCTGAGCGGCAAGTTTCTAAATCTGGATTCAACCATTCCCATCAATCGAGGGATCCTTCTGAGTCGCTTAGCTGGAACAGGACTTAGAAGCATCAGGCAGTTCTACACAGACACTATAATCCAGTTTGGAAGTGGATTAAAACAAACTGGTTTTGCTGTGCAGTGCCTACACAAACACCCCAGGAACCAGTTCAAGACTGATACAGTAACTACAGATTGGAACCAGACCCAGAAATGCAGCATCCATGTCTAGAAGCCATCAAAAATGCAGGGTTTTCTTTTTTAACCAGTCTACTGAGATGCGCTGCAGACAATCAATGTATATAATTCAGTTTTGAGCCCTGCATGGTATATAGCTGCAGTGCATTGTGCATTTTGTTTTGGACTTTCTGTTGAATTTTTTAACGCCCTGTTTCTGGCTAGATGCATGCTATAGTGTGCATAAGAAGTTTTGTGGAGACCTCACCCTCAAGTCAACTTCGAATTGCATTATAGTGTCTGTGTAGAACCACCCTTTTGTTACACTTGCTCTTTACCTTCCTGGACAACTGAGTTTGTAAGTGGAATATGCTGCCTCAAAATGTAATAGTCGCCTTCTCTGAAGGTTTTTAACCAGAGGCTCGATGACCATCTGTGGGAAAGGCTTTGATTGTATTTTCCTGGATGGCAGGGGGTTAAACTAGATGGCACTAGTGGTATCTTCCAAATCTATGATTCTATGATCTCAGAAGTGGGGGACTCCTGTTTGATTCCTTGGTTATTTGCCTGTGGTCTCAGGGCTCTGCTTTGCTGCCCCACTCTATTTGACGTCTACATGAAAACACTGATAGATGTTCAATGTATTGTCGAAGGCTTTCATGGCTGGAATCACTGGGTTGTTGTAGGTTTTTTCAGGCTATATGGCCATGTTCTAGAGGCATTCTCTCCTGACGTTTCGCCTGCATCTATGGCAAGCATCCTCAGAGGTAGACCTCACTACCTCTGAGGATGCTTGCCATAGTTGCAGGCGAAACGTCAGGAGATAATGCCTCTAGAATATGGCCATATAGCCTAAAAAAACCTACAACAGCCCACTGATGTTATCTGTATCTGTTTGCCTTCAGCTTACTTCAATGGCTGCAAACTAAGTTCAAATACAAAAATAGTTTAAGCTGAAGTCAAACAGAGAAAGTGGCAGGAGGAATGAAAAACTGCAGCAGTTTGCTTTGCCTGTCTAGTGAGATGGGCAAGATTCTGCCATTATTTTCAGATAATATAGAATTTTCAAGACAGTATTGCTTTATTGTAACTGTGCAATTATAATCCTATCTATAGCAATTTCATTTGGATGCTTTCAGCCTATTTGGAATTGTTCCCAGACTACCTAATCATCACAACCACAGGCA